CGCGGTGCTTTCTTGCCGGCCGGCGCCCTGACGCACTTCCGCTTCCGGCGGAGGAGGCTCTAGGATCCGCCCTGCTGACCCTGGGGCGTGGGGCGTTGTTGGGGGTGGTCGCCCTGTGTGGCGTCTTAGCGTAGCCCCTGGGTTGTGCTCCACCGACGCAGTCGACTCCTGTGAGCGTCTCGGGAGCCCCGAATGAGTAGCTGGGAGAAGGGGCGGGGACTGAGCTTCGCTGACCGCTGCCGACCGGGCCAGAGATACGGGCGTACCCCCGCATAGTGCGCCTCCAGCGCCCCCGGTCCCCTCACCCTGCGGCCACCTGGGGCATGGGGCGGTGCTCCTGCCCAGGCACGGAGCCTCTGCGAGCGGAGGCCTACTTCCGTGGTGCCTGCTATTCACACTCCCTCGGGCCGGTGGGCGAAGGACACCCGCAGGAACTCGGCAGAAGAGAAATTCAGACGGTTCCTGAGGGTAGGAAAAGGTCCCGGCCCACCGCGGGGTCGGAAGCACCCGACCGCTCTGCCATCCAATGTTTCACGAGTCAGATTCCCAGGGCAGGGCAGGGGAAGCAGAATGCAAACTGGGGCACCGTTTCCCTGAAGCATTTTGGCCGCCTTTGTCATAGTGCTAGAGGTGCATACTCTTGGACCCCGCAAACCCGCTGCTGGGAATTTGCTCCAAGGAAGTAAAGATGATACAAAGATGGACCCACGAAGTGTGGTTGTTGGTTACGGGTGGGTTCTTGAGGAAGGCCTTATTAGCAGCCTGAACCCTGTTGCTAGGAGAAGCTCCAAGCCGCAGACGGAAGGAGCAGCGGGGCCTATGTTGGGTTCTTCTCTGGGAGGGGGACATGATCCTAAGATGTAGAACTAGCCTCAGAAAACTAAGGCCCAGTGGCCGGGCGCGGTGGCTCACGCCTGTAATCCCAGCACTCTGGGAGGCGGAGGTGAGTGGATCACCTGAGGTCAGGAGTTCGAGACCTGCCTGGCCGACATGGTGAAACCCCGTCTCTACTAAAAATACAAAAAATCAGCTGGGCGTGGTGGTGGGCGTCTGTAATCCCATCTACTCGGGAGGCTGAGGCAGGAAAATTGCTTGAACCTGGGAGGCAGAGGTTGCAGTGAGCCGAGATTGCACCACTGCACTCCAGCCTGGATAAGAGTGAAATTCCGCCTCAGAAAAATAACAAGGTGAAAGCAGGGAAGGGGCCTGGCCAAGCCCCACAGCCCTTTCCCTGCCCCAACCCCTCCCAATTTCCCCCATCCCATTCCTCCGTGGAGCAGTATTGACTGAGAAGTGCTGATGCCATGCCCATTCTTGGTGCCAAGGGTCCGTTAATGGAGAAAACAAAAATCCCAGACTGTGACACTAACATGTCAGAGTCGCCCCCACCCCACCTTTGTGGGAGTGTGCGTGGCAGTCCCTCAGTTAAATGTCCTCTTGGGACTTTGTTTTCCAGATGAGACAAGACCCCACAAGGGCAGGCTCAGGACCACGAACATCCTGCCTCTCCTATAGCAGCCCCATAGGCTAAGCCACAGGAGCCTCTGGAAACACAGCTGGTGCCCCCACCACCCCTTTGCCTGGACAACCCTACTCCACACTGAGCTCCAAGTCTCAGCTCCCACATTCTTTCGCTGACCCAAGCCCATGTCAGCTTACATGGTTAAGGGCTCTCAGAGAACCCACTTCTCGTGACAATCTGCTTGTCATTAGACACTGATTTGTGGAACTGTTTGGCATCTTCCCTGTGACCTGGGGCTGCTGGAGCTGCGTTCCCGTGGGGCTGCACACAGTAGGCACACTGGACGCAGGATTAAATAAAGGCACCAAGGATCCC